AGAAAATTAAAACAAGTTCTCAAGAGCCAAAACATGATCCTGAATTTAGAGATCATCTCAAGAGCAGATTTGATGCATTAGATATTAATGACTGAAGAACAAGAAAGCTGTGGAATGACATCATAAACAACATACACGAGAAAGGTAAAAGGTCATCAATAAGAAGGAAAAGACCACAATGGATGTCAGAAGGGAATCTGAAACTTGTTCTCCAGTCACGAGATGCTACAGGAAATGGAAGCCATGAGGAGGGAAAAGAGCTGAATAGAAAATTTCAAGGGGCAACTCGAGCAGACAAACATTGTAATGAAATGTGCAAAGACCTGGAGTTAGAAAACCAAAAGAAAGGAACACACTTAGTGTTTCTCAAACTGAAAGACTGAAGAAAAAAAAATCAAGCTTCAACTTGCAGTATTGAAGGAGTCTATGAGGGGTCCTGGTGTGATTCTATAGGCTAAGCACTGGACCGCAAGGTCTGTTTGAACTGCAAGATCGGTTCAAACTCGAAACCCTATATAGGGTCACTATGAGACGGAACCCACTCAACAGCCCTTAACAACAATTCCTGAAGCCTTGTTTTACCAGTACTTTTAGTGCATCTTGGACCTCTTCCCTCCATATCATCACTTCTTGGTCATATGCTACCTCTTCAAATGATTGAACATTGACAATTCTTTTTGGTATAGTGAACTCTGTATATTCCTTCCGTTTTCTTTTGATGGTCCCTGCATCATTCAATATTTTTCCCATAGAATCTTTCAATATTGCAACCCGAGGTTTGACATATTTTTTAGCCATTAGCCATTAGAAAGATACAAATCTAACCAACAATCAGGTATCATCTCAACCCAATGTAATAATAGCAAAGTGCAAAAAATTGAAAAAGCTGGCAAGGGTGTGGAGAGACTAGAGCCCTCATATAGTGCTAGGGGACTGTGGAAACAGTATATAGTGCTTCCTTAAAAAGTTGAAGGCAGAAATACCCTCTGACCCAGCAATCACTCTACTTGGTATATATCCTAGAGAAATCAGAGTCATCGTGGAAATAGTCATCTGCATACCCATGAATGTTGCAGCACTGTTCACAATAGCAAAAGGACAGACACAGCGTAAATGTCCAGCAACAGAAGAAAAGATAGACTATACATTTGGTAGGAATGCCAAATGGTACGGCCACTTTAGAAGACAGTTTGACAGCATCTTATAAAGCTAAACACAGGCCTCCTATGCCATCCCACAATTGTACTCCTAGGGATTCACCCCAAGGAGTTGAAAACTTATGTCCAGTTTAAAAAACTACACATGAATGTTTATAGCAGCTTTATTCATAGTTGCCCTAAACTGGAATCCTTCAAGACGTTCTTCAAAAGGTAAATGGGTAAACAAACTGTGGTACAGCCCTACAAAGGAATGGTAGTCGCTGATAGAAAGAAAGATGAGGAGGAGCATTAAATGCATACTTTATTAAAAATCGGTAGCAAGGTTGATTAGAATGAGTTCGTGATGACGGGCACATCCCATTGACTAAGGGTAGGACCACACAGCCACTTGTTGTCATTGCTGTCAGTTAAGTTGCACACTTGTAAAAAGTTGGATTGTCAAAAGTCATGTAATATGTACATTTACAATAACAACCAAAAGAGGTGCGGGGAGTAGCTTCTGAGGCTACCATGGATAAGCAAACACCTTAATGTGATTTGGTTTCTTGGTTTGGAAGGTTAAAGTCATGGATGGTTTTATGGGACATCCTGGTTAATAGGCTTAATGATGTGTTTACTACTTCTGTTCTACTTCCTAGTTGGAAACCTAGTGCGTGGGATCTTAAAAGCTTACAAACAGTCAAACCAAGCACAGTAATTGGTCCCTAGTCACCTGTATTCCCTCCTACATGATGATGCCTACTCTCCTGTTCTTTTCGCTTCCAGATAAGCCTGGGATAGAAGTTTTACCATTTCCAATGCTCCACTGGGTATACAATGCAACCTGTCTCTCTACTCGTGTAGCGGGCACCTTTGAGCTTTCCTGGGGTTTCTTGGTTGTTGCTGTGCGCTGTGGAGTCGGTTCCAATTCACAGTGACTCTGCAGAAGGTTTCTGAGGCTGTGCACTGTTATGAGAGCAGAAAGCCTCTTCGTTTTCCTGCGGTGAGGCTGCTGAGCTAGAAGATAGCAGCTCAACACACAGCCCCCTACACGACCAGGGCTCCTCGTGGGGGGGAAAAGCTCAGTCCCAGGGCTGAGAGGACAGTTAGTGAGAAGGCACTAAGTCTTCCTGCTGATTTTCTTTAGTGGGCATCTGGAAACACTGGGGGTCAAAAGGTGGGTTGAGCTACTGGGGTGGGTCCATGGTGGCATGGACACCGTTAGGGGCTTGAGAATCTCTGAGTCTGACCGTGAGTGCATACTCTTCCCAGACTGAAAGAAGTCAGGACCAAAATGCTGCAAGCGAGTGAGCCCAATTCTGGAAAGGCAAAACTAGAGGAAATGAGAAGGTCAGAGATTGTCCGGGGCCTGAGGAGAGGAGGGACGGACAGGTAGAGGCCAGGCCACTTTTCCAGCAGTGAAACACTTCTCTGTGGTCCTGTGATGGTGGCTACATGCGATGCACTGGTTCAAACCCATAGTGCTATACAGCACAGAGAGAACCCGGATGTAAACCATAGTTCAGTTTATCCATTGTAACAGGAAAATGCTAAGAACAGGAGAAACTGCAGGCAGAAGGAGCCCACGTGGCCAGTGGTTATGAGCTTGACCACTAACCAAGACAAAGGTCAGCCTTTGGAACCCATTCACTGGCTGCTTCATGGAAGAAATTGTGTGGCTGTTATCCATAAAGAGTTACAGCTTTGGAAACCCAAGGGGGCTGTTCTTTGCTGTCTTATCCTGAGACGCTGAGTCAGACTTGAACACCATGGCAACAGGTTCAGTGTTTCTGTTGTGTTTTGTGCAGGAGGGAGAGAGGTCTGTGGGAAGTCTGTACTTTCATACAGTGTTTCCATAAACCTAAAACTGATCTACAGAACACGGTCTTTTTAAAACAATTATTTTGATGAATTAGAAGGGTCATATTCTTCCTGAGGAGCCCTGGTGTGATGCTGTAGGATAAGCACTGGATAGCTAGCTAACTGCAAGGTCTACAGTTCAAACCCACCAGTCGCTCCTTGGAAACCCCCTACAGGGTCCCTATGAGTCAGAACCAACTCAACAGCACTTAAGAACAACAACGTTCTTCATGATTATTCTGTGATAATAAGAAATGAGCTACCAAGCCATGAAGCATTGTGGGATAAGCACTGTGTTGCTAACTGCTAGGTCAGTGGTTCAAACCAGGCGCTCGTCAGAAACCCGATTACAGAGTCTCTGTGAGTCGGAATGGACGCGATGGCACTTAACAACACAGGCTCCGGGAATTCTGGTGTGGTGTGCCAAGGTTGGCAGTTCAAACTCATCAGCTGCTCCTCGGAAACCCTATACAGGGTCACTAGGAGTCAGAACCAACTCAGCAGTACTTATCAACAAGATTAAGTGAAAGAAACCAGTCTGCGAAGTCTCCATACTACACAGTTCCAACTCTGACCTTCTGAAAAAGGCAAAACTGTAGACAGTGAAAACATCAGTGGTCACCAGGGGGCTGGGGAGAGGAGGTAGTCTCTGAAGGTTCAAAGGCATACGGTCTCTTTCTAAAACATCTTCTTATCTGTTACCAAATAGTTGCTTTGGATAATAAATACTTGTTTGTGAGAGTGTTTCTTGATCTTTGCTTGAAAACTTCCCTTTTAACCTGAACAGCCCATATGATTTTCAGTGACTCTGATCTTTTGGAAGGAAACTGCCAGATGTTTCTTCCAAGATACCTCCAGATGTATTCCAAGCACCAAGGTTTTGCAAGAATCCCCCATGGGCTGGATCCTTCATGTACTTAAACACCATCATGTGACAACTGCAGGACAATGCACTGGGTCACCAGTTGCTCCTTGGAAACCCTATACAAGGTGGCTATGAGTTGAAACTGACCAAAGTCACTTAACAACATCACCACACGTGAGCCAGGAGCTGGTAGCCTTGGTGCCATGAATTAACTCATCATAGTCCTTATGCTAGGCTATTGCAGGCATACTCTGACGAGGCCTTTGTCAAATGGAGGCTGCATAATTCTCACCCTTGAACTTGCCCTTCTGAAGGTATGTTTACTCCACATGTGAATGTTATCGTCCAACACTGAAGAGGACACATCAAAGCAACAGCAGGATGGGGTCACAAGATCACAAGAGCCAGAACACCAGCCTGTCCCCCACCTTTGTGTGTAGAGCCTGGCCGCAAATGTATTTCAGTTTTATTTTATTTACTCCCTTCAAATCAGAAGTGAATTTTCATTTTTAAACTTAAAAAAAAAAGAAAGTCAGTCTGAAAAGAGCACATACTTTCCATGCTGCATGATTTCAATTCTATGACATTCTGGAAAAGGCAAAACTATAAAGACAATGAAAATATCCGTGCATTCCAGGCGCCTGGGAGTGAGGTGGTACTGAGGGGAAGGATGAACAGGTGGAACACCCATGAAGATACTGTTGCCATTAAGTACCATAGAGTCAGTTTCGACTCACAGCGACCCCATACAGGGGTTCTGAGGCTGTAAATCTTTACGGGAGCAGAAAGCCTCATCTTTCTCCCACGGAACCACGGGTAGTTTCAAACTACCGACCTTGAGGTTAGCAGCCTGATTCGTAACCACTATGCTACCAGAGACTACCAAACCACAATTCATAGTAAATAAACAAATGAAGTCATACCATACTTAACAAATCCCATCAATACCTAGAAAAAATTTGTACAAAAAAACATGATTCAAATTTTACATATGCTTTTTAAACATAAATAATGGATCAAACAGTGAAATACCATTGCTTAGAACATAGCAGCATCTTATATCTGTGACGTACACACACAATGGGCTGTCTGTTTATGTATCTATCAATGTGTTGGAAATTATTTAGAGTCCCTACCTTCTAAAATGTCTGCCACTGCTCCAGGGTCTATTGCATTTTTAAATACCTGTAAAAAAAAAAAAAACGGGAAATAAATTTACATGTTTTACTACTAGGTATTGATGGAAACTATACATTATATTCTTCTAAATAATTAATACACTTAAAGGCCAGAGATCTAATATTTGGGGATTCAACAGGAGCACCTATAATAGGGACAAACATTAACAAGCACTTATAGAATGAATGAACAGGACATAACAATACTTGTTGTTTTTGTTGTTATGTACTGTGGAGTCGGTTCCGACTCAGAAACCGGTACAGGGTTTCTGAGGCTATGAATCTTTACGGGAGCAGAAAGCCTCATCTTTCTCCGACAGAACAGCTGGTAGTTTTGAACTGCTGACCCTGAGGTTAGCAGCCCGATACGTAAGCACTACACTACCAGAATACAAGGAAATACGAGTAGTTGAATTTAACCACCTGGTTACAAATTTCTTCAGCTGACCTAAGTCCTACTGTGAGTTAATGTGCTGGACTGGAAAGTCGGTTTGAACCACAAGGGCAGCGGTTCAAGCTCACCAGCCACTCCTAGGAAACCCTTTACAGGGTCGCTATGGGCAGGAACTGACTAAATGGCACTTAATAATAACAACAACATCAACCTCAGAGTCTGATTTGAGTATCTAGAAAAATATTCTGCATATAACAGACACTCATTAACTGTCTTTAATTGATTGAAACACCTCTCTTCCCAAGCAACATTGTTGTTGTTAAGTGCCATCAAGTTGGTTCCGATTCATAGCCAACCTATATAGGGTTTTATAGGAGCATCTGGTAGGTTTGAACAGCCAACTTCGTGGCTAACAGTCCAATACTATCCTACAGCACCACACTAGGACTCCAAGGAATCCCAAGCAAATAAGAGTTTCAACTAATAGGCTGGGCTCTAAAGTTCTGAAAGGGGAATGTTGTTGTTGCTGTTGTGTGCCGTCAAGTTGGTTCCAACGCATAGCAACCCTATATAGTGTTTGCAAAAGCGCCTAGCAGATTTGAACTGCCCACCAAGCAGTTAGCAATCCAGTGCTTAGCCTACCGTACCAAAGAGAGGTGCTAGCACCTACTCTCCCACTGAATCCCCAAAACAAAAAATAATATAGAAGTAAAGGGAGAGGAAGAGGAAGAAAGGGAGATGCTGCTAAGTTTGAAGTTTTCCATGAGGCATAAGCATTGCAATGCCTGTCCACTGACAAATCTACAGAATTTGTTCTGAAAATAAAAGAGTTCAAGATATGCCTAAAATGCAAGGCAGACCAGGCCCCTCCCCTGGAACACTAGACCCCATTAGGAAACAAACCTTTTTAAGTTGCATTTGGTTCCAGGCCTTAAAGTTAGTTGTAAATGGTGTTTAAATTTAAGTATGGTTAATATTGGTGCTGTGGGTTAATGCGCTGGACTGCAAGGTCGCTTGAATTGCAAATTCAGTGGTTCAAGCTCACCAGACACTCCTTGAAACCCTATACAGGGTTGCTATGAGTCTGAAGTGACTTGACGGCATTTAACAGCAACAATATAGGTGCGCCATGAGGTGGAATTGACTGGACGGCACACAACAGTTAAATTCAACTCTTTGGACTAAAGCGAAGCCTGCTTTAAGGACAAGAATTGAGGAGTCCTGGTGTGGCAAGCGTGGCAATTCAAATTCACCAGCTGTCCTTGGAAACCCTATGTTGTTGTTGTTGTTAAGTGCTTAACAACAACAAGACAGTAATCTAAGACGATCTGAGGGAGATGAGGCTTTCTGCTCCGCAAAGATTTACAGCCTTGGAAAGCCTATACAGGGTTGCTATGAGTAGGAACTGTCTCAATGGCACACCACCACCACCATGACCACCACAGTAATCTATTTTTGTGAAAATGTGGACGATTTGGGGCAGGGGTGGGGGGCAGAGTGAGCCCTAAATCATTTTAGTAACTGCAACCCTTTACTTCCCCCATGTCTAAGGATTTCTCTCAACTGTGATTTTAGGAGCCCTGGTGTGGTGCTGTAGGATAAACGCTATATTGGTTCAAAGTCATCACCAATCTCAGAAATCTATAGGATTTCTATACAGGGTTGCTATGAGTGGGAACCAACTCAATGGCACCCAACAACATGTTGAGTCAGTTAAGCTCAAATGTAGAGTTTTGTCACCAAGCAAATGTGGTCCCTAGAGTGTGACATTTACTGTCTTCTCCTAACATGTCAGGGAGGCAGACAGACAACTCCAAGGTCATGTACACACGTAAACAGGGAAAACCCTGCTTCCATGATGCTGTATCCTGGACCTTTTATTCAAGTTATTAAAAATCTTCTGCAGAAGCTAATTCAAAATTGATATGTGAATAGGAAAATTCTTGGGGAGAGGGAAAAAATCAAACCCAACATACTACCTGCCAGGAGTCCATTCTGACCCACATGATTATAAATAGGGTTTCTGAGACTGGAATTTTTGTAGGCGAGCTTCACCTTCCTCCCTTGGAGTGGCTGTTGGGTTTGACCAAGTGACCTTGCAGTTAGCAGCCCAGTGACTAGCCCACTGCACCACCCGCGTGAAGGAAGGGAGACTCCATTTTCACCACCCACTTTCACCATTGTTTTGTTGTTAAATGCCGACGAGTCAGTTCTAACTCATAGTGAACCTGCATAGGATTTCCAAGGAGTGGCTAGTGAGTTTGAACAGCCAACATGTGGTCCAAACAGATCTTGTGGTCCAGTGCTTACCCTACATCTAAATGGGAGAAGTAGGTTCCCTTAGATTCTAATCTTCTGCCCCAAGACGATAACTATTCATCTCTCTCCTCTCTTATCTAAATAGTTTGGTTACACTCTGTATTTAAATTAATAGGCTGTGACAAGTGGAAACATTTTGTCCAACTGCAGCCCTTGGGGACAAAACAAACACCTCACTTTCTGGGTACTTGATGTGCTCAACCCTGGAGCCTCCCAGAGTTACCCTCCACCACAGTGATACTGTTTTGGGGGGAAATCATTAGACCTATCAAGGCTAAAATGGATTCTACCTCCATATTCCAAACCAGAAACTCAAAGGAACACCTTGGATGCATATGCTATCAAATAAATACTGAGGTGGGAAAAGGGTTCATAATACCCTGACAGCTTTCGTCACTGGAATGGAATCTAGCCTTTATCCTGTAGCCCAGTAAACCAGCGACGATGGTGTTAAGTGCCATCGAGTCAGTTCCAACTCTGACCCTGCGTAGGGTTTCCGAGGAGCAGCCGGTGAGTTTGAACAGCCGGTCTTGCAGTTCCAACTGACCTTGAAGCCAAGTGCTTATCCCATAGCAGCACAGGAATGACATTAAGACTCTCTGGGGGTGGTAAAACACTAGACTGCATGGTCGGTTTGAACTGCAAGGTTGGTCGGCAGTTCAAACTCACCAGCTGCCCTTGAAAAACCCTACACAGGATTGCTGAGTCAGAACTGACTCCACGGCACTTAACAACACCAACAACAAAACAAAGGCCTTCTTGGAATCTGGGCGTAGAGCCATAGGATAAAACACTAAATAGACCGCAAGGTTGTTTTCAACTACAAGGCTAGCAGTTCAAACTCATCAGCCGCTCCTCGGAAACCCTATACAGGGTCGCTGTGAGTGGGGACAGACACGACAGCACTTAACAACAACAACAAAGGCCTTCTTGTTTTGTTACAGGAGTTCAGTTCCAAGGGGAATGAGTATAACTGCTAACTTCATACTAGTTTTGCTTTTTTGCTTCTGGGTCTAAAAAGATTGATTTCTAAGGTCTGCTAGCTTATTGATAAACTCTTTCATAAATGTTATTCAGCTCTCACAGCTCCAGGAACATTCAGAAAGGCTTTCTGCTCCAGTTAGAGAGCACCATGGGAGTTTCAAGAATAGAATGTTTAGCACTAGGCTGACAGAACTTAGCTCTGACCAAGGATACAGAAAACTGAGTCCTCCAATAGGCCAACGGTGGTTTTGTTGAACCGATTCGAAGGCATTTAACAGCAGCAATAACAAAATGCCTTGGGAACATTCTTCTTTGAGCAGGAAATTTATAAAAATGAGAATGCTATAAAAACGGAGTCCGATTAGACTGTTCAGACAGCAGAACCCAAGAAAGACAAGATCACCTTTTCAAACCTCATGTTCTGATGAATCATGATAGGAAACACAGGGGGGAAGCAGTCTGTCTCCAGGTACCGATTCAGAAAGTAAATCCCAAGGTACACATCTTGCTTGCTTGGCAGGAATACCCCTGGGCAAGAAACCTTAAAAAAAAAAAAAGGGAAGCGGGAGGAAAAACTAAGTGAATGTTTTACAAACTACATCCGGAGTCCTGGTGTGGCACTGTGGGTTAATGCTCTGGATTGCAAAGTCAGATTGAACAGCAAATTGGCAGTTCAAGCTCACCAGCCACTCCTTGGAAATCCTACACAGGGTCGGTATGGGTCAGAACCGATTCTACAGTACTTAACAACAACAAGCTACATCCAGTTTGATTCCAATTTTACAACATTCTGGAAAACATGGTGTTGTGAAATGCAGTCAAGTCAGTTCCGACTTACAGTGACCCTGTACAAGGTTTCCAAGGAGTGGCTGGTGAGCTTGAACCGCCGACCTTGAGATTCAAACTGACTTTGCAGTCCAGCGCATTAACCCACAGCGCCAAGGTAAAACTATAGAATTAGTACAAAGGTGAGTGGGAGCCTGGTGCTTGGGTGATAGGGAAAGAGGGATGAAGAGGTGGAGTCCAGAGAGCCTTGTTAGGGCACTGAAACTATTCTGTGTGGTCCTGGTAGGGTTATCACATGACATTACGCATTTGTCAACATCCTTAAGACTATACAACACAAAACAATGTGAACCCGGATATAAACCAAGGGCTATAGCGGATCACTTTGATCAGTATGGGTTCGTATACTGGACTGCTAGCCACAAGGTCAGCAGTTCAAACTCACCAGCCAGTCCTTGGAAACCCTATCCTATATAGGGTCGCTATGAGTCAGAACCAACTTGATGGCACTTACGGCCACCACCAATGTAAGAAAAACTGGGCCAAGAGGGACTCTGTGCTTTCTACACACTCTTCTGTAAGGTCTAAAACTGCTCTACATTTACCAAGAAAAGCTATGCTACCGTCACAAAAGAACAAATATGATACGATCTGACGTACATAAAATCAGCAAATATATAGCTGACCAGAAGGAGCTCTGGTAGCGTAATGGTTACGAATCAGGCTGCGAGCCGCAAGGTCAGCAGTTCAAAACTACCAGCGGTTCCGCGGGAGAAAGATGAGGCGGTCTGCTCCCGTAAAGATTTACAGCCTCGGAAATCCTGTGTAGGGTCGCTATGAGTCGGAACCGACTCCACGGCACACAACAACAACAACAACATAGCTGACCAGGGAGTGAGAGGGAAGGGGACAGCAAGAGTTGCTGTTTGGGGATGGAGCCGAACTGTCCCAGAGGGTTTCCAAGGCTGGAAATCTTTATAGAAAGGAGTCCTGGTGGGGCTGTAGGATAAGCACTGAACTGCTAACCACAAGATTGGAGACTCAACCCCATCAGCAGCTCCTCAGGAGAAAGATAACACTGTCCCTGTAGAAATTGGCACTCAGAAACCCTATATAGAGCCACTAGGAGTTGGAATCCACTTGACAGTAGTGGGTTGTTGTTGTTGTTTTGTTTTTCTGGTTTGGTTAAACCTTTGGAAGCAGATTGCCACATCACTCTCTGTAGACCAGCTGGTGGGTTTGAACATCTGACCTTTTGGTTAGCAGCCCAGTGCTTAATCGAGGCTCCATCAGAGCTCCTTATTCATGTTCATGGTAGTGGGGTGTTTAGAAAAAGAATGGTGAAAATGATGTTACAGCAAGAAAAACTTAATCAGTGTCACTGAATCTGTTTTATTTGCCATTACAACCATTTTTAACGTGCAATGCCACCCTACCAACTACACTTTCCAGGTTTTGTACAACCATCACCACTATGCACTTTCAATTCTGTTTCCCTCTCTCTTCTTTCTTTTTTTAACTTCTTTTGTGGGAAAGTTCTCAATGGTTTGTCCCAGTGAAAAAAACAAATACATATACAGTTTCCCTTAAAGTGCATGAAAAAAAAAAAAAAGACAAAAAGAAAGGCAGCAATTTCTTTTTCCTCTTAACTGCTTTTCCAGTCATCCAAGTTAGCATGTGTCTACACTCTTCCTGTTGGTGTTAAGTGCCTACGAGTTGGTCCCAACTCAGTGACCCTGTAGAGGATTTCTTAGGCTTTTCTTTCTCCCACAGAGCAGGGGGTGGTTTTGAACCACCTGTTGTTGTTGTTAAGTGCCCTCGAGTCATTTCCCACCCATAGCGACCCTGTATAGGGTTTCCTATACAGTAGCAACTGGTGAGCCTGAACCGCCAACACTGCAGTTCAAACTGCTTTGCAGTCTGGCGCATTAACCCACAGCGCCACACCAGGACTCCAATACCACCACAATTTTAAAATACTTTTCCAAAAAAAGAAACCAATCAACAATCAAAGAACAGTTTGTTTTGTAAAAATTCCAGGCTCTCAACAATTACTCAGAAGCTTAGATGAGAAGATGTTGTTGTCGTTAAGTGCCGTTGAGTAGATTCGACTCATAGCGACCCTGTATAGCATTTCAGGAGCGGCTGGTGAGTTTGAACCCCTGATGTTGCGGTTCAACCTTGGGGTCCAGTGCTTTATCCACACCAGTAGGGGCGGGGAAACTAGAGCACTGTAATAAACGGAATACATTTAAAGACACTGTGATAAGTGCATGCGGAGCTTGTCAAATAATTGTTGTAACACACAGTGTGTACAGCAATCTGGTGGAGCAGTGAATAAAGCGCTTGACTGTGAGGCCACAGGTGAGTTCAAACCCATAAGAACGATGCTGTTTTAAAGATGATCCACTGCCATCTTGCTCACTCTAATTCATAGCGACCCTATATAGGGTTTCCATGGCTGTAAATCATTACGGGAGCAGCCAGCCCCTTCTTTCCCAAGCAGAGACAGGTGAATTCCAACCGCAGACTCCGAGTTAGTAACCAGACACATAACTCACTACGCCACCAGTACGGCTAATAATCTTGAAGTCCCTATGGGGCAGTTTTACTCTGTCTTATAGGGCCGCTAACTTTCACCAAAAACACTATTTAAAAATCAAGTCTGTCTCCTGGCATCCCGCCTCCCACCCCTCCCGGCCTCCAGATCCCGGAGTCCCAGCTCCTCCCCCGTCTCCACCAGGTGTCGGGCTGGTGCGCGTCTCTCCCCGCCTCCGCGCGGCAGTGCGGAAGCGGAAGAGGCTGCCAGGCCGGGAAGCCGCTGGTGAGGTAGTGGTGGGTCGGGTCGGGTCGGGTCCGGTCTCCGCAATGCCGAGCCCCCGGAGAAGCGCCGAGGGCCGGGCGCTGGGCGCCCCCACGACCAGCAACAGCAGCCCAGGCAGTCCGGCGCACTGCGGCGGCGGCGGCGGCAGGTTCGAGTTCCAGTCGCTGCTCAGCAGCCGCGGCGCACCGAGCGCAGACCCCACTTGCGCGCGATTCCGCGCGTCGGAGAGCCCGGTGCACCGCCGCGGCTCCTTCCCGATGGCCGGGCCGGGCCCCGCGCCGGCGCCCCCGGGCCCGCTGCCTGAGGAGGCCCGCATGGACTTGAACCCATCCTTCCTGGGCATCGCCCTGCGTTCTCTGCTCGCCGTCGACCTGTGGCTGTCCAAGCAGCTGGGCGTGTGTGCCAGGGAGCACTCGGCCTGGGGCAGCGTGCGGCCTCTGATGAAGCTGCTGGAGATCTCGGGCCATGGCATTCCCTGGTTGCTGGGCACCCTCTACTGCCTGTACCGGAGCGATAGCTGGGCCGGCCGCGAGGTCCTCATGAACCTGCTCTTTGCCCTGCTGCTGGACCTGCTGCTGGTGGCCCTCATCAAAGGGCTGGTCCGTAGGCGCCGCCCAGCTCACAACCAGATGGACATGTTTGTCACCCTGTCTGTGGACAAGTACTCCTTCCCCTCGGGCCACGCCACGAGGGCCGCCCTAGTATTGCGCTTCATCCTGAACCACCTGGTGCTGGCCATCCCACTCCGAGTACTGGCGGTCCTTTGGGCCTTCATCTTGGGCCTCTCCAGGGTGATGCTAGGGCGGCACAATGTCACCGATGTGGCTTTTGGCTTTCTCCTGGGCTACCTGCAGTATAGCATCGTGGACTATTGCTGGCTCTCACCCCACAATGTTCCGGTCCTTTTTGTAATATGGACTCAACAGTGAACACCAGCGCATGTAAGGCGGCCGCCAGGAGAGACCCCAACCAAGGTTTCCACTTTCGGTGATTTCGACATAAGTCAGCAGCCATTCCGCTTGTCCCTCTTAGAGTTTCAGGCTTACTTTGGGATTTGGGAGAGGGGGTCCCACCATCTTGATGTTGTGTGGCTAGGCCGGAGCACATCACTAAACTCGGGAACGCAAAAAAAAAAAAAGGTATTTCATTTATTCAGTTGTGTGTGTCTCAAGAACAATTGCCAAAACAAAACAAGCTAGGATGATTATAATGATGCTGTTTTGTTTTGTTTTTTAAGTTGATGTATGTTTTGCAGTAAGCTCATAAATCAACACATCACGTAGAAATTGAACTTTGAAAATGTAACAGGATCTTCATTCTGTAAATATACATGCAGCTGAACAGTGTACAAAACCTAGCCCTTGCCCTAAAGTAGACTTTAAGCAATATTTTAAGAGCTTCAGACATCGGTTTCTCGAGTTTATTCCCTGAAAGGGCTGTTGCTACATTTGAAGAGAGTTCTTAATCTGAATTTTTTTGGTAAGGTTTTCTTATAGATATATTACTGTCTCGTCCATCTTTGCTAATTGGGTAATGAGAATAGAAATATATTTGTCTTCCTTTCCATCTCCTCTAAACCCTCAAGAGATCTTTACATATTTCCTATTACTTTCAATGCTATTTTTCACCATTCAGAGTCAAGCCAAGAATTTAGAGAAGACACACTCAAAAGTAGGTCTATCTAAGGTGTCTGTAGAAAAGAAAAAGGTGATTATGCCTTCCTGCTTAGTGCTGTTGACAATAATAAGGTATGACAGAAAGCAGAAGATCGGAGTTGCTCAAAGTCCAAGAAACTGAGCATTTGGGGGAAGGTTGGCTATTTGGTATTTACAAATCACTTTAAATACCATACAAGATTTGGTATTTACAAATCAATTGACCAGTATAGCAGGGATGGGGTGTTCTACTAAATATAGACTAAGACTTCTCTATTGGGGTGATCACAGGAAAGGCCTGGGGATCTACTTGCTAAATATCAGCCATTGAAAATCTTAGGGCACACAGATCTACTCTGACATACAAGAGGTGCCATGAGTTAGAATTGGTATTGGGGTTCTAGAAGTACCTGGGTAAAATGGACTCAGCTGCCGACAGGTTGGAGGTTTGAATTCACCCAGAGGTGACTGACAACCACCAAGGAGTACAGTTCTACTTTGACACCCAGGACGCTGCCATGAGTCAAAGTCATTTCTACAACATCTGGTGGTTTACTAGGCTACCAGTAAAACAATGTTAATTTTTTTCAATGCAAGAGTATATAAGCTTTCTCATATGTGTAGGGATGGCTCCGCATACTATAGTTTTTCCTATGGAATTCTATTTCCTTGATTACAATGCACTTTGTTGTTGTTAAGTGTCGTTGATTCGATTCCAACTCATAGTGACCTGATATTGGGTTTCTGAGGAGCGGCTGGTGAGATTGAATCACGTACCTTGCAGTTCAAACTGACCTTGCATTAATCCACAATACCACACCAGGACTCCATCCAACACCCTTTGTTGTTGTGAAGTGCTGTGGAGTCGGTTCCGACCCATAGCGACCCTGTATAGGGTTTTCGAAGAGCAGCTTATGCAACAGTATTTGACTTGAAACATATCAGGAGGAGCCGCGGCCATGCCAGGCCCAAGGTCTAACTCCTACCTTTCTGTTTACATGAACTATTACGGTTAAAGTGGTTCATCCATGGTGCCTCCCAGAATCACAAGACCAAAGACCACCAAGTACAAGATGGGCTCTGTGACCAGGAAAGATAAATGTTGCTCTGCCTTCAAAAAGAACCTTTGGATTACCTATGGAACTAGTGTCAAGATTACTGTACTTTTTCGCATGTAACGTATCAACGTAAATATATGCACACTAGGTATATATAAGCATATAACGCACATAGCATGTTAATACTCCACATTATTTGTGCAAAAACATGGTACTCATTTCTAAGCAAAGGACTGTGGGCTTTGTCCTACAGAGAGAGCTGTTGGTAGGTTCTGATGGGGTAGAAGAGTGAACTTTTGGAGAGTCAGGCACATTGGAAGAACAGCGGCTGATCAGAACAAAAAACATCTCTATTCCCACCATACCCTGAATACCAAGTACCTCTTCACTTGTTGAATCATCCAAACTGTGAAGCTCCAAGTGTCTGGGTTGTTGTTTCACTTCAGCAGGATCCTATCTTTTCATCACAGCAATATCTTCAGGCCAGATATTTGGAAGCAATGATATCTCTTCTTGCAGTATTCACAAGTCTGGATAGTGGAGGCTCCAGGCTAGGCTCATGGGTGTTTGGGTACACTTCTGTAATTCCCTATCTTAGTTGTGGGGCCTGTGTTTGCTGCCTTTAAAGCACAACTCAATTCACCCCACTACTGTTGGAACTTCTCAAATACCATGGAGTGGGAAACATTTGTTTGTTAACTGTACACTGAAGAATGAATGCCTTTTAGAAATCAAAATAAAATTAACCAGTAATGTCAAATGAAGTGAGATAAAAACTTGCTTACTTTCTGCTTTGGTGAGGAGGGAGACCGGCTTGCCATTGGCCTTCTCGAGAATTCCTCCATGGTTGGCACAATTTTGAGAGCACGCAATCGATATGGCACCATTGAAAAGAATTTGGCCCGATTGCTATGCAATGAGACAAATCCAGGAAATGCTGAACAGTTTTGTTTCAGAGCCATGTATGTGGTGCGTTTTACCACTTGGATGGAGGCTGATCCAACTGAAAGGTTGGATGTTTGGGGTCTGTCCAGAGCACCGCGGAAGAAAGACCTGGGAATCTTCTTCCAAAAACAGCCACTGAAAACCCAGTAGAGCATACTTCTGCTCTGATATACATGGGGTCACCATGAGCAGAAGCCACTCAATGGCAACTGTTCTGTAATAGAAGCTGACCAGGCTTTCCATGGCAGCAAGCTTGTAATCCTGACCAGTAGAGAGGATCTAAGTAGTTTGGGGTCACATCTACCCGGCACTAAAGGAAAGAACTGAAAACCTGGAAGCTGAAAGTGAAAATGACCACAAACAGTACAATGGGTCATGCCACAGCACCACACTATGGAAAGATGTGTTGGGTAATCTTTTAAAAACTTTTTCTTGATCAGTTGATTTCCATTTTGGCAAGCTGGAGTCACCTCTAGATGACTTAGAAAAGCTTAGAAGGTATTTCATTGGTTCACTGTTTTGTCGTTAAGTGCTGCTGGTGAGCTTGAACCACCAACTTTGTGGGTCACAGTCCAGTGCTTATCTAACAGCGCCACATGCTGTTGCTGATATTGTTAAGTACACAGCGACCCTGCATAGGGTTTCCAAAGAGCGACTGGTGAGCTTGAACTGTCGACCTTGCGGTTCAATCCCACCTTGCGGTCCAGCGCATTAACCCACAGCGGCACACAAGTGCGCCACGTATAGAGGTGGCAAATTATCAGGAAGTGATGGGGCCTTTAAAAATTCAATAATTCCCTGGTTATTTAAAGGGCTATTTAAAAACCTTTAACTGATACTTATCCTGGAGAAGAAATCACTGTCCTACTGGGGCTGAATGCAGGGTTGTTTTTAAAGAACAAGGAAAAATCCGATAGAGCTAAGAAACAATGGGTTTGGGGGACTGGAGTGGGGAGAGGGGGAACAATCTTGGAAGCGACTGAGTTGAATCAAAGGTTAGGAAGTCCGAGAAGACCTAAAATAAGCTTAAGGACAAGGGCAGGAGTTGTGCCAACCAACAACAATGGTGTGTTTGTATGCTAACTAGGAGAGGGGTGGGGAAAGACCCGAGACCACTCAGGCAGCTTGACGCCCGGGGAAAGAGTCCGACTTGGGGCTGGATGAGGGACGTCCGCCGATCTCTCTTACCGCCCGGATCTGCAACTCCACAAGCACCTCCAGAGGCATCGTTCCCTGCGTGGGTGAAAAGGCCCGAGTGAAACGTCCTTTTGTGCAGAGCTTCGTACTGCGTTTTCTTAGTTTAACTCAACCCCTAGGGCAAATGTTCTCAGCGGCTTCTCCAGCCCCTCCCCACCCCCTTGCACCGCCATCCGTCCCCACCCCACCCCCAGCTCAGGTCCCTCCCACCCAAACGGGCCTCTCTCTACCGCAACTAAAGTCTCGGCTTCCAGAAGGCGGAAGCGTCGCGTTGCCATAGGCACTCAAAGGCGCAACCTTCCATCTGGAACGCGGCCGCGAACCGACGCTGCGTGCAGACCGCACTGAGGTTGTAACCCACGAGCCCAGAGTCCGAGTCCCTGGTCGGAGACTGACCTTGGGGCGGGGTTCGGAGCCCCTAAGAACCCTATTGACTTTGCTTCTGCCCCTAACACCAAATTTTCTTTTGTCCCCATCACTATCTTACAATTTTAAAAGTGGACTGTAAAAAAAAAAAAGTGGACTGTCATCGCAGCCCTTTGTAATTTTAGTTAATAGCTTTTTTATTTTTTTAATAGCCATATTGTTGTTATGTGCCATGGTGTCGATTCCGACTCATAGCGACCCTGTTAAATCTTTACAGGAGCAGAAAGCCTCATCTTTCTCCCACGGAACAGCTGGTAATTTCGAACTGCTGACCTTGTGGTTCGCAACCCAATTTGTAACCACTATGCTACCAGAGCTCCTTAAGACCCCTCAACCCAAGCCTTGGGATTTCCATAACAATTCTGATTTAATATGAGTTGGTGGTGGTGGTTATGTGCCTATGGAGTCATTTCCAACTCATAGCGACCCTGCATAGGGTTTACGAGGCTGTAAATCTTTAATAAGGGAGCAGAAAACCTCATTTTTCTCCTGCGGAACAGCTGGTGGATCGAACTGCTGACGCTGAGATTCGCCCCCAGACTCGTAACCACTACGGCTACTAGAGCTCCTTTGATTTTATATGGTAGGCTGCCAGTCAAAGGGACTCTTGCTCATTAAGTCTGATGACTTCATATTTGGTTCAGAAAACATGGCCAACGTCCATCAGAAATTGAACGTGCGTGCAAATTAGAGATGCAAGAATTCTTTGGTGGTGTGAGGCGTTCAGTCGCTTTGGACTGACTCATAATGACCCTGTATAGGGTTTCCAAGGCTTTCGTCTTTCTTCCTTTGAGCGGCTGGTGGATTCTAACTGCTAATATCGGGATTAGCAGCCCAACTCCTAACCTACTACTCTCCCAGGGCTCCTTAAGGGGAAGTCTTAGAGGTTTAAAATGTAACTTTCCTGTGTTGCCAGTTTTTCACTTCATGGCACAAAAATTCAGTTTCAAGCATAAAAAAAAAACCAAGTAACTCCTCAACCAAAAAAAATTTCAGTTTTACTTAATTGATGGCAAGCTTTGAATCAGTGTCTCCCAATAAGTAGTTACTGTATTTGTAAAAGCAACAGTGACACCCAAAAACTGTTAGAGGTGCTGGCAGGGCCAAAGTTCTTAACGGGGAGGGAAATTGCATTTCTTCTTTTTCCATTCACCAAATGTGATGTACAAAAATGAAGGAAAGGAGCAGGGAGGTGCTACGTCTAGCCAATGTGAAACAATCTGCTGTTTGGTGTGGGCGAAGGGAGGGGGGTGGAGGGTGCCATTTATTGTAACAGTTTGCATTGGCGATTTATGCAGTTGAAAATATTTCAGAAAAAAAAAGATCTCCTAAAACAAAAATTGCCAATCAGAGTTCCATTCCCTGGAAGGGAAGGACTCAGTATGACAAAGGTGAGAATAGTGTCTTTATTCAGTTCCTGATGTACTGCCTTCACCCCAAGGGGCCCTGGTGGCACAGTGGGTTAAGTATTGGACTGCTAACTGAAAGATGGGTTGTTTGAACCCACCATTCCCTGGGCAGGAGAAAGATGAGACAGTCTGCTCTGTAAATTTACAGAAACACTGCAGAGCATCTCTACTCTGTTCTATAGGGTGGCTATAGGACTTCGTGACAATGCGTTTGGTTTGGGATTCTATCTTCATTCCACACAGATGGCGCCCTACAGCGACCAGAGCATGGGTTTATGGGCTTAAACAATGGTTTTCTGACACTCAGTCTAGGGCCTGGACACAGGGGACAGGACTGTCGTGGCCCTCCAGCTCCTTACAGGTAAGTCACCAACACTGAAGACATCTGGGAGAGTGACGGCTAAAATGGATGAAGAAATAAGTGGCCAGACCCTTAATGGAAAGGAGGAAGTCATCTTTCCCCAGGGCCAGAGAGGCCCTAGGCATTAAAAGGACTCTCTTGCTTATTGAGTTTGATGACTTTATATTTGGTTCTGAAAACAATCAGAAATTGAACGTGTGTGCTAATTAGAGATGCAAGGAGAATCTTACTGTTTTACAGAAACAGACAGCCTTTTGCTCAAGGCTGCACAGCTGAGAAGGGGAGCAGCCACGTGTTCTTCCAAGTGTGCCTTCTCTCATCTTGCCTGGAACTAGAACATAGGAATCTGTCATGGATTGAACTGTGTGTCCCCCGAAATATGTTTATAAATCCTAACCTCTGTCTGTGGTTGTAATCCTACTTGGGAATGGGTTGTCTGTGTTGTGTTAATGAGATGGGATCAGTGTAGGGTGTTTGAGATACTAGAGATTAAACATGATGTGCAAACAAAAAGACATGGGGGGAGGCTGAAGCCAAGCCACAGAAATCTCCAAGGAACCAGGAAGCAGAAGCTGAAGAGATAAGGATCTTCCTCCAGAGCCCACAGAGACAAAAGGCCTTCCCTGAGAGACAGAAGGCCTTACCGGTGAGCCGGCATCCTGAATTTGGACTTCTAGCTTCTTAAACGGTGAGAAAATAAACTTGTTTATTACAGCTACCCACTTCTGATGTTTCTCTAATAGCAGCAGGAGCTAACTAAGAAGACAGTCTGTTGTTGCTGTTAGGTGCCATCAAGGTGGTACCGACTCATAGCGACCCTCTGCACAACAGAACAAAACACTGCTCGGTCCTGGTCCAACCTCACAATTGTTGCCATGCTTGAGCCCATTGATGCTGCCACTTGGCCAATCCATCTCCCTGGGGGTCTTCCTCTTTTTCTCTGACCCTCCACCTTACCGAACATGATATCCTTCTCCAGAGACTGGTCCCTCCTGACAATATGTCTGAAGTATGAGACATGAAGTTTGGCCATCTTGACCTCCAAGGAGCACTCTGGCTGCACTTCTTCCAACACAACTCTGTTGGTTCTTTTGGCAGCCCATGGCACTTTCAATATTCTCCTCCAACACCATAACTCAAAAGCATCAGTTCTTGTACGGTCTTCCTTATTCACTGTCCAGCTTTCACATGCATATGAGGTTATTGAAAATAGCATGGCTTGGGTCTGGTGGCGGTGGTTATGTGCTGTGGAGTCAGTTCCGACTCATAGCGACCCTGTACAGGGTTTCTGAGGCTATAAATCTTAATGGGAGCAGAAAGCCTCATCTTTCTCCTGCGGAACAGCTGGTAGTTTCAAACTGCTGACCTTGCAGTTCACAGCCCGATTCGTAACCACTCTGCTACCTAAATTCCTTTGGCTAGTGAACTTTAAATAATAATGTTCCATCCTCTGTGCTTCCTTTCTTAACTCTGGAGACGAGGGGACTGTCCTGGCTTGGTTTCTAGGGCACACCCCCTTCTGGTCTTCCTCCAATTCTCTGGCCATTTTCTCTTTCATGGTGCTGTGGGTCAATGCACTGGTTGGTTTGAACTGCAAAGTTGGTGGTTCAAGCTCACCAGCCACTCCTCAGAAACCCTATACAGGGTCGCTATGAGTCAGATCCGACTCGACAGCACTTAACAACCACAACATCCGTTTCTAGTGTAGGTTTAAATGCACACACACACAGAGATGGACTTATCCCACCCAGGCTTCTCCTGCTGTTCTGACAAGGCCGAGTCTCACTAAACACACACACATATGTATCTCCCCTTTTTATGTCAGAATAGCTGCTTTATCTTTCTTCTCCATTTGTCTCCAGAAGTGGTGACTTCTGAATGGCTGTGTATTTGTATCCTAAATACCTTTCCCAATTGCCATTGGGTGATTCTGACTCATAGAATAGAACTGCCCCATAGGGTTTCTGAGGTTATAAATGTTTAAAGCTGATTGCCACATCTTTCTCTCACAAAGAGGCTGATGGGTTCAAACCACAGACCTTTTGGGTAGCAGCCAAGTGCTTAATCACTGCACTACGAAAACCCAAACTCATGCCATCAAGTCAATTCTGATTCATGGTGACCCTGTAAAGGGTTTCTGAGGCTGTTTAAATCTTTACAGAAGCAGAAAACCTCCTCTTTCTTTTGAGTGACTGGTGGGTCTGAACTGCCAACCTTGCAGTTAACAATCCAGTGTTTATCCTACTGTGAGAAACACTGTTGATACCAATACTGCCTTGGTTCCTCTTGGCAACTGGTGGGTCAGTATAAACCCCTAACTAAGACCTTACCCCAGTGGGCCTCCAGAGGGAGAACTGGGACAGACAGCCTTATCCCATTTGAGGTCACTGATGAGTTATCTAGAGTGTTTACTGAAAAACGGTCAAGAAATCCAATCTGTACTCATTTTAGCGAGAGTGAAGCTATATTATTTGATTTTGCAAAATTGTGCACCAAACTCGGAAGACAAGGTGGGCAGTGCGGCCTTTTTACAGATGGTTTTTATCGCCTAGCTCGGAAGTCCGTTCCTCGGTTCTTCACTGAGTACTATGGGCTGAACAATCTTCTTGGATGTCGCCTTTCCTTTTGATGGTTGCATTCTTATTTTAAAGTTTCAACTTCTCCAACAGGTTCTCCTTCCCCCTCCTTTTATTTATCCTGTTTACATTCCTGAAGATGGACCAGCTTGCAAATTATTTCTCACACTGTAATACCTCCTTAAATCCCAAGCATAGCAGATGCTGAATACACATCTTTGAGTAGATGCTAAATGCTGAGATACTGTAGTCAGTCTATGGGAGTTACTGGGCAAGGGGAGTGGCCACATGTCGAGCGAAACTGTTTTCAGAACGTGCAGGAGTGGTACTCAGTTCCTTCTGCTCCTCTGCTTGCAACATTACTCGTAGGGACGCACCCTGTTCATTTCTCCCAGCATGGCCTCCTGAGCTACCATGGAATTGTGGGAATAGCTACAGGCATGATGTCTTTGACCCATCTTGCAAAGAGTTTAGACAAAGTGCCACCACCTTCATAGGAGGCCCCACAGAGCCAGTCAAGGGTTGGACTGTTACAACTTAACGAGAGAATGACTGTCTTATTTATACAGGTCCCTTTGGGTGGCAGGAAGTAGGTCCCAATGAGCCACTTTCACCCCAGGGAGTTTCTGCCATGCTGCGCGGTCAGCAGTGACATCAGCCTGGCAGAAATGGCACCTCGGCACATCCTGGCCCTGGCCAAGAAAATGGCACACGTACTAAATGGCAATTTCCTGGAGTTACTTAGTAAAGAACCGAAGTATGGGAACCAGACCATTAGGGCTAGGGCTTTCATTTTAGAGAAAATAATATTAATTAGTTGTAAAAACCAACTTGTAAATGCTACTTTTAAAATAGATAGAAATCTAAGGTTATTCACGGTATAAGTAGATTTGTGTTATCTTTCAGTAATCCAGAACTTGATTGGAACTTAATCCAACAGCATTTTAGGAGGCTGTGGAATAATATCCACTTGTCTGTGGATATTCATCAGCTACATGCTCAAATTTCTGATATAAGTAATTCTCAAAGTGAGCACTGAGTGGCTACTAATTTGCTACCCCTGCTAGAGAGTAAGATCCCCTAAGAACTTGATTGAACCTCAGCATAGTGATCCTGCTTGGTCACCTTAGAGCAGGCGGTGGGCTGGCAACGTCTTGCGTATGGGGTCCCCAGCCGATCTCCTCCCTCCCTGCCTTCCTCGGATGGTGGCTGTTTATGCTGGACGTGTGGCCAGAGACGGGTAAGGATCACATGGAACCTCAGCAACCTAAGACAGAGCCATTGCCATGCTACAATGAGTTTCGATGACGGGTAAGACTGAGGAATTCACACTGACCGCCTAAGACAGGCAGCATCCCTTAAACAAACAATAAATAAGGGGGAATCTGATGCAGACCGTGCAGACCTGGTCAGGAGGTCAAGACCCTGTGGGCCCAAGCGTTGTTGACCGTCCAAACCATAGGCTCTGAGGATCAGACTTTAGCCACCTAGTAGACATAGCAAACTGTCCCTCATCTGATTATTCAGTAATGCTTGTTAGTAATCTCATACATGAGCCCTGGATATCCACAGACAAATGTAAAAACCTTCCCTAAAAGCCGAGACTGTAAATTCCAAAAAGGCAAGTTCCTCCCCACCCCCACGCCCCAAAAAAAAGCTAAAGAGGATAGAGAGAAACACAGTTAACTGATGATATATGGAGAGGATAATACTCAATGTAATGAAACAAGCTATATGAATGGTTGAATGTGAAGCTGATGATGTGCCCTGTAAACTTTCACTCAATCCAAAATAAAAACATTTAATAAAAAAAATAAAAAATAAAAAGATAGAAATATGATGGAAGGGGCTTCAAAAAATTCATGGAGAAATGGAATTTTGCTTCATATTTTTTGAAGCCCCCATGTATTTATATGAGGGAGGAGAGTAGAAAACAAGAAGGCATTAACTGGCAGGGATGTGGAGAAGTCAACAGTGATGTGTAAATACATCTACTGGATTCGTGTCTTATAGCTGCTGTAAAAATTTCCAAGAGCATTTGTATCGTTGTGTCCTGGTGTGGTGTCTGATGTGGCACGGTGGCCTAATGCACTGGACTGCAAAGTCGGTTTGAACCACAAGGCCGGTGGTTCTACCTCATTACCTGCTCCTTGAAAACGCTCAACAAGTGGGCGGTTCAAATGGACTTTGCAGTCCAGTGCATTAACTCAAAATGCTACAGCAGAACTCGTTTCGACTCATAGCAACCCTCTATAGGGCTTCCAAGGAACAGCTGGTACGTTTGAATCGTCAACCTTGTGTGGTTAGCAGTCCAGTGCTTATCACTGTTTTGTTTTTTTTTAAAAACTGCATAAAGGTCATGTCTGATGGGGTTAATACTTGAAAAATACAAATAAGAACATAAAACACCCCCTGAATGTAAAAGCACACCCTTTGCAGCCCAGGATCAAGTCGTCACTATCTAAACCCACCATCAATCGTAGCATTACTGTAGGTGACATCACACACTTTTCGGCATGTGATGTCATCTATGGAGTCCTGGTGTGGGGTGCAAAGGATAAGCACTCAACCACAAGGTCTGTTTGAACTATAAGGTTGGCAGTTCAAACTCACCAGTCACTCCGCAGAAACCTTATACAGGGTTGCTGTGAGTTGGAACATAAAGTACTGAAGAAGACGTGGGGGCACAGTGGTTAGGTGCTCGGCTGCCAACCTAAAGATTGGTGTTTCTAATCTGCCAGCAGCTCTGAGGGAGAACAAGATAGCAATTCACTTTGGCAAACGTAACAGTCTCAGAAACCCTCTCTGAGTCGGAACAGATTCAACGGCAGTGGGTTTGCCTTATGAAATACTTGATCCAAAAAAAAGGAAGTTGAATCTAACCAAGCCACTAGAGTTGTGTTGCGTAATACAGCAGCCACATGTGGCTACTTAGAAATATTTTAGACTAAATAAAAATTTAAATCCAGTTCTTCACTCAAACTTGTTAAGTGCCATGGAATCCCGGCAAATCAAATCCCATCGAGTCACTCAAACCACAGTTGTTAAGTGTCTTTGAGTTGGTTCCGACTCATAGTGACCCTGTGTAGGGTTTCCAAGGAACAGCTGGTGGGTTTGAACTGCTGACTTTGTAGTTAGTTCCCAGTCCAGTGGTGATCCTACAGAGCCACACCAGGAGTCCTCAAACTACAGCCATCACATTCAAAGTGCTCAGTAGCCACATGTGGTTTGTGGCTGTGGTATTGGGGAGTGCTGGCAGAATCGTTCCATCCCACACTAAATTCTATTGGACAGTATCCCTTTGTTCCCTCACTCCATTAAGTGAAAAAGCAGACACATAGAGGGACATGCTAATGACACAAGGAAGCAGAGAGATCTAGAATGTGAAAACTGCTTTAGCTTAATCACATGGAATTGGTGCTGACTCATAGCAAACCTGTACAGGGTTTCCTATGTCGTTAAGAGTCCTGGTGTGGCACTGCTGGATAATGCGCTGGACGGAAAGGTCAGTTTGAACCACAAGGCCGGAGGTTCAAACCCACCAACCGCTCCCTGGAAACCCCATACAGGGTCACTATGGGTCAGAACCGACTCTACGGCACTTAACAAGTCTTTACGGAAGGAGAAAGCCTCATCTTTCTCCTAAGGAACAGCTGGTGGTTTCCAACTGCTGACCTTGAAATCAGACACCCCAATGGGCATCCTCACATTTTCAATGCAAGACCTCGGACAAGTCGGGTCTATTTCCTGTTCAGAAAAAAGGCAGTGTTGAGGGTACAAATCTTTAGGAAAGAAGGAACACAAGATTCCCTCTCTGTACGTTGGCTATTAGTTGTACTTGTCTACATTGCTGAAACCTGGCTTCGCACCAGTCCATCTTGGGCGGCATCCTCCCAGCTGTAAATGTTAAGTGCTGTGGAGTTGGTTCCGACTCATAGCGACCCTGCACAGGGTTTCCGAAGCTGTAAATCTTTATGGGAGCACAATGCCTCATCTTTCTCCCATGGAACCGCGGGTAGTTTCGAACTGCTGATCTTAAGGTTCACAGCCCGATTCGTAACCACTACGCTACCAGAGCTGTAACTAGAAGAGCAGAAAGTTGGCTCTGCATTTCAAAATTTTCTCAGAATGCTGGTTCTTAACTCAATGCGCAGAAACTAGTCGCAGTTTTGAAGTGTACACTTGGTCGGCGCCGCGGGCTCTCCAGGAGCCATGGCTAGAGCTGAGGGAGCACAGAGGCGAAGTGTTGCCCAAACGTTTCTCCACCGCCGCGCCAGTCGGGACAATGATGAAAAGCCTCAGAATGCCAAGTTCTAAACAAGCGGTCTCGACATCCCCACCCTAAAAAAAAAAAAAAATATATATATATATATATATATATATATATATATATATATATATATACAGTAAATAAGAAAATTATTTTTCAAAGGGGGCCGGACCCAAAGCAAACACTCAGAGCCCGGGAGCGGCGCCCCATGGCCCCAGCCCACCCTCCGGAAGTGACGTCACAGCCGCGTCCGTCTCCTTCCGCCGTCCGCCGCTGGCGCGGCCGAGTCCGGCGCGGGGTCTGCGTCGGCGTCCAGGACCAGCGCAGGGATTCTGGGTAACGGCTTTGGCCTGCAGGGGCGGCGGGATCCGCTCGGCAGGTTCAACCCCCGCCGAGGCCGTTGGCAGTGGCGGTTGTAGGGCTGGAGGCAGCGGGACATGGAGCAGCCTTGGCCGGGACCGTGGAGCTTCCCCCGCGCCCAGGGTGAGGCTGAGGAGGAGAGTGACTTGGACCTGTCCCCCGGGTCACCCCGCAGCTCGCAAATGCCGGACGGCGGCGCCCAGGTGAGGGGTCCCGCGCTTTGCGGGGGTGGGCCAGGGTGCCTGACTCCGTCCGCGTTCTTGTAGCATCATCCGAGGGGAGGCAGCGGGTGGCATGGCTCCCTGGACGACGCGCCTCCTTCTTGCCTGCTGACAGCACCCAGATTTGGGGCGGCTCACGCTGTACCAGTGACCCTTTGTCCTCTTGCGCTGCTTTAGCCGGGGAAGGCTTGAATGGCTCGGAGTGGTTCGGGGCAGTGAATGGTTGCTGATGAACAATTTCAAATCCACGCTCGAGTCCACTTCCCCGACTCTGACATCCCAGCAGATGCTCTGAGCCCCGCTTTTGAGGCTGGCGTGGATCCCTCGCCGTAACCAGCTCCCTCTCAACCCTTCGACATTCTTTTTAGAAATTACGCTGCAGGTCATGTTTGTCTAGTGAACACATAGTCGGTTGCTTACCTTTTCGCCAGACCGCCCCTCGGGGTCCTGATGCTGCTCCAGTTTTCCCGCCCAGGCCGCCCTCCTCCATCACCTATAGGGGTTTTTCTGGGTTCTGTCTCCCTCAAACCCACTGGCAGCCTCTCTTAGGGAGTGTGCCTTTACTGGTACCATCATCGCGCGCTGGTTTTCTCTCCTAACCTGAGTAGGTTTTGTGTATTTTGGGATTACCTAATGTTTAATGAAACAAATGTGAGAGAAGTGGTCTGCCCTTTTCTGGCTTCTTGCAAAACGGGTTCCCCCCAGGAGGCTTCACAGAATTGGGAGCAGTTTTCCTCTAGGCTCGTTTTGCTAGCTAGATAGTAATGAAGATGAGTGAGTTCAGCCGTTTACTGGTAAGGACCAGAACATGGATTCTGTGCCCATCCAACGGGTTAGTTGGCTTCACACAGAGAAAAATGCTGTTTCATCATTACACACTGTGCTGGAGCCAGCCAGCCGCTGCGAAAGCACACCCAGTATTTAGGAGGACACAGGCAGAGTGGATGGGTCAGGGGTGGTTAAGCGTCCATTGAGTGGCTTCCAACCCATAGGAACCCTGCCTGCATGGGGTTTCCAAGGAGCTGTTTGAACCACTGACCTTGCAGTTAGCAGTCCAGTGTTTATCCTACAGGGCCATCCCAGGGCTCGATGGGTTAGTACTCACCCAATTATGGATCAGTAACATCATCTTGGAGTCTTGGTGTGGCACTGTAGGATAAGAACTGGGCCGGGCCACAAGGTCAGCGTTCAAACTCACCAGCCGCTCCTTAGCAATCCTATACAGGGTTGCTGTGAGTCGGCACCGCCTCGATGGCATTTGACAACAACAGTATCATCTTTACACAGAGAAGACAGCACACCCTCCGTGACCGAGACTGAGGGAAGCCTGCCCAGCAGCTGCCGCCTTCGATTTTGAAGGCATGTGGTAGGGGGAAGAAAATTCTAAGAATTTCAGAGCATTGTGGTTGAATCACAGTCCCTGAAAATACAATCTTGGTCCAGCGTGCCTCTAAAACCTCCGTGAATTCGTGCATTAAAATTGGACCTAGTACTCTATTTAATGATCTGAGTGCATGTTGGAGAGTTAGCCTAGAGACCCCAGACATTGTTTGGACAGTCTGTGGAGAAGGGTTTAGGCACCAGTCATTTTCTGAATCCAGAAATAGGATTTCTGTGTTTGCTCTGAGAAATGGACATTTGCTTCCACGAAATTTCATAACACAGAGATCTCTTTTTATCTGCATTGCTTTTCTTGGTATCTTATTACAAAATAAATTCATTTTTCCTCCTTTTTGTGGCCCTTTCTAAAGCATAACTTGTATACAGCTATTCTTGATTTTGTTCCTAAGATAGCAGAAAATAAAAAATATATATATTTTGCCTGGTTAGTTTCTTCTGTTCTTCTGCCCCTTGGACCTGGCAGCCCCACCCCCTCAGTTTGGGGCTGTGGCTCCATCACTTTGGCACTCAGCAACCCCACCCTCTGGAACCGAGTTGGTGGAGATCTGACTGATTCGCTTAAACCCAGGAAGCACAGCTGAAGGTGATTTTTTTTTATGCCTGTAAATCATGGCAGCTCTGCTAATCTTGCTCCTCCTAAGAGTTTCAGAGCCAGAGGTGTGCTCTAAGGAGATGCTTTTATGCAGCGTTCCTGTCATCCTTCTCAGCGCTCGCCAGGATTGCCTGTGACGTCCTTAAGTCCACAAAGACAATCTAGGCTTTTACTGTTGTTAAGTGTTGTCAAGGCGGTTCCAATTTATACTACCCTTATAGGGTTCCTAGGAAACACTGGTGGGTTTGAACAGTCAGCCTTGTGGTTAGCAGCCCAGAGCTGACCCTACAGCACCACATCAGGGTTCCTTTTCCACTTTTGGGGGGTAGAAGTCCCAGTTCAGAGTGCCAACTCTGTGGGAAGGTTTTCTCCATCAGTTCTGGAGGAAGGTCCTTATCTCCTTGTCTCTCTAGCTTCTGCTTCCTGGCTCCTTAGAGACCTCTGTGTGTCTTGGCATCTCTCTTCTACTGTCTCTGGTTCCAGTTACTTCTTGTTTAATTTCTTTTATATCTCGAAAGATGACAAAACACACCCTACACTGGTGCTGCCTCGTTAATGTAACAAACACAGCCCATTCCCAAAGGGCGTTATAAGCCATAGACATCAAGATTAGGATTTGCAACATATTTTGGGAGGGTGGTACAGAGCTCAAGTCATCACCGTTCTGGACATTGCATTGTGGTACCAGGGACACAAACCTCCTCAGTAGGTAAAGAAAGCATCTGAATAGCAACCGTATCCTTATTTATCCCAATAGAAATCTGAAGAGAAGAAAGGGCCTTGCAGGCTACAGGCTTCAGTCTCTGCTCAAGTGGCGAGTCACATCGTCATACTCACTGTCAGGCCTTCAGAAAGCTGCTTAGTGTAGTAAACTCCTCGTGATGTCAGAAATACTATTTGAGGCAGGGAGGGAAAGAGAGCCTGTAAGCAATGAACCCAGATCTGGAGAGATGATCACAGTGGGAGTTATCCAGGAGCTGGGGAGGGGGCAGGGGGATTAAATGGAAGGGGGGGGGGTGAGAATGAAAGAATAAGCAGATGTAAATGGGAACCTGGGATGGAGTCTGCAGAGGTAACTGGAGGTGAGGTCGTGGAGAACCAGACCATGCTATGGCTGAGTTCTGACTTGACCCCAGGATTGAGTCAAATACCGCTGTGTGTTTGGGGGACACCGACTCCAGTCTAGCCGAGTGGAGAATGGCTTGGGAGGACTGAAGGCAGACAGGCCACTTTTGTGATTCAGGTGTGAAATGAAAAGGGTTTGAACTCGGCCAGTGGCTGTAGAGAAGCAGGTCCAGGAGAAGTCGTTTGAAATGGATCTACATCCGACTAAGAAATCTCAAATAATGTGCCGTTGGCTTTTCTTTCATTGAGCGAGAAATGTAGGAAATGAAGCACGTAACACTTGTCGATCAGTAAATATTAAACTTAATATTTCTACTGTTTTTGAGTGGTGTGAAATCACCAGCATGGGTCAGTGGGCACCTTTTTGGGGTTTTGTTTTTTGTTTTTTAACTAACTTGGGCCATTTTGATGAGGATTAAGTTCTAAGATCTATGCCTTGCAGTTATAAATGGAAATCTCCTGAAGTCGTGGAGGATCAGGATGGTCCAGAAAGAAAACAGAAGCTGTGGTATACAATATGACTTTGAAATAAAAGTTTCTTTTCAGTGAAGACACATAAAACTGAATGGCTGTGATCATGTTGCATGGTGAGCCGATAAACTAGACACAAGCCTTTGTTTTCCTTATTCTGCTCTTGGAGGATCGTGAAGACCATAAATCAAATGTTTGTTGAGTACCAGCTAGCTACAGGACATTTTGCTGGTTGCCAGGCTTCTGTTATTGTTAGCTGTGGTGGGAGGGACCCTGAGTAACAAAGAAGCTTAGAGTTGAGTTGATGAAACAAAGTCTATAATGTAAAAATGTAACCACGTGCTCAGAAGGCAGGATACACAGTGTACCCAAAACATTGCCCAGAAATCCTTTGAGCAGAGGACCACAGAACCCTGCTACACAAGCATACCCTTTTGCTGCCTCCTTTTCTTACCAGTAGAGTTTTGTTTCTCACCCAGATATACGGCCACGGCATCGAGCTGGCTTGCCAGAAACAGAAGGAGTTTGTCAAGAGTTCGGTGGCGTGCAGATGGAATCTCGCCGAAGCGCAGCAGAAACTTGGCAGCTTAGCCCTGCACAACTCGGAGTCATTGGACCAGGAACAGGCCAAAGCCCAAACGGCCGTGTCCGAGCTGAGGCAGCGGGAGGAAGAGTGGCGGCAGAAAGAAGAGGCCCTAGTGCAGAGAGAGCAGATGTATCTGTGGAACACAGAGGCCATTAGCAAGGATGTTTTTAATAAGGTACCACCAAGGGGGCAAGACACGATAAACTGTTTGTACAAATGAGCTGTGCATATTTAGCAAAGCCACAGACTTGTAGACAGTGTTGAGTCTGATTCAGTTTTATGAAAGGGCTTGTTATAGAAACCATTCTTTTATCCTCCTGTCTCATGTGGCTAGTACCTCATCCGATAGGCCTCCTCCTCCTCACTTTCCAGTGGTCTCATCACTTGACATTTTGCAAATTTGACAATAGTAATAAGAATTCAACCATCTGACTATTTTGTGCGTTGACAAGGTGGCGGGCCTGGTGGCAGCGGCTGGGGAGCATCCCCAGCTTGCAGAGGACCTCTGTTAAGCTGGGCCACACTGCCCTGTGTGCTCCTCTCCCTCCTGTCGGCGGGGGGATGGGGTGGGGTTGGGGGTGGTGTCACATCCAGCTGCCTCCACAACTTGGGCTGGCTCCATTCCCTAGTTGCCCAGCAGGTGCACAGACAGCACCCAGCCAGTGGGCACCTGTTTTGGGTTCCCAGCTTCTGTGGGTCCTGAGGGTCTGCAGCTCAGAATTGCTGTGGGATAGGAAGAGTCTTAAGAAAGAAAGAGACATCAGAGAGGGTGTTGGGAAGCAATGCGTACAAGTTTAATAATGAAGTCCCAAAGCAAGCTGAACTGCTGCGGTGAGAGCCGCAGCCTCGCAGGTACTGTACCCAGGGCTTGCAGGGAGGGAGTGGAGCCCTGGTGGCAGTTCTGAGAGGGAAGTTCTGCCCCTACGCTACATGTGGAGTGAAGTCAGTGGGTAAGTCGTGGGCACTCCTGTCAGCAAGCTCGGCTCTGTCTTGTGCAGAGGAGTGATCCATCACTTTCCGCAGTGATGACCACGCCTGTAAATTTAGCTGTTGGGATTCCTATGGTCATGTTTTCTAAATTAAAAGAAAAAAGGAAATCAGATAAATAATGGTTTGAAAAAAGAAGAAGAAAAAAATATCCATATTTGCATACCAAATTTTTACATAATGACCTGGTCTTTGGAAGCTAACCAAGTGGCTCTGAGGAGGGGGTGGTGTGGCTGTCACTGAGCTCACTGGAACTAGACTGCCTCAAGTGTCCCACTGGCTCTTGTGACCTTGGGCCAGTCACTCAGCACCTTTAAGTCTCAGTTTCCTCAACTGTAGGGTAGGTATGAAGATTAAATTCCTCTTAAAAGCACATAGTGTGGCATCTTGCACATGGTGAGGCTTCGGCATGAGTGTTTCTAGTGTTGCTGAGCTATATCAGCTTGCTCTCAGTTTTCTTAACAGTAGTTTATAGTTACCGTATTTATTTATGAAATCAAATTAAGTCTTTTGTAGCAGCATATATTCTGTAAGTCTCCGGCAATGACCTGACTTTGTGGCCCATGCATTATAATGGAAGGACTTTATAAGAAATAATTTAGTCACTTTTGTTTTTAGTAAAATAAAGTAGTGCCGGGCGCTTGCCTGGGACTTGGCTTCTTATAAGAAGTAGTGTTCTGTTTCTCACTAGATTCTGTAGGCTGTGCTCTTTGACTTTTGCATGGAAGAAGAAATGGACTTCAATTGCTGGCAGGATATGGAGCCGCAGTGTTCTTTAGATGATGGTGTGAAGCAATTTGGCAGATTCCAAGGAGCTTTTTGAAAAACCAGACTAGGATAGAAAAGATCAGAGTCCATCCCACTTAGAAAACTAGGTTACCAGGCTGTTGTGAGACTTGTGCTTCAGGGCTGTGTGTGTGTGTGGTGGGTAGGAGGGGTGTCCAAGGCCCCCTGCTTAGAATTTGCCTTTCCACCCCAGAGATACTGAATCCATTTACATTTTAACAAGAGCCCCAGGAGATTCTTATTAGTGTACATAGGGATCTTGTTAAAATGCTCCCTTTCAGACTCAGTATATCTGGGATGGAAATGAAAATTCTCAGCAGCCATTGAACTGAAATGAACCAGTTTACTCTGGTTAGGTTGCAAAGCAAAATAGATTTCTTAATCTAAGCTGTAGTTAAAAGTATGCAAACTGTTCTGGAGCTAGACAGTTTTGATTGACCTGTCCCAAGTATTTGTTTCTATATGTGTACTGCTGAACAAGTGATTAGTAGGTACGATATGAAACAGTCATAAAAATTAGACATTGGCAAGGGTGAAGTAAAAATTGAGCTGAAGTTATACTTTCCCTCGTATCTCATGGAGTCGCCTTGTGTGTCCCCTCCTTTTGTGACCACTGCCTTACGGATTCTTTCCTCCATCCCCAGATTTAGTAAATGAAGACACTGAAAACTGCCGTAGAGTGAGTATGGGGTCGGGAGGCTAAGATGAGGTGAAGCTGGTGGAGCTTCTTTGTCTGCTGCCTTGGCGGGTGATGGGGATGCCCATCGTTCCTGACAGCTGGATAGGAAAGAGGTCCTGGGTGGACTTGTAAAACCCACTGCTTCTCAGAGTGCTGGGGGCAGGTACCTGTCTCTTCCAGAATGCAGTAAGAGAAGGAAAACCAGTAACACCTGCTTATTTTAAGCGCTAATGCTCTAATATGGAACAGAATGATACCATTGTATATGGAGCCATACATTAATCCGATTTGTCCCTCTTTTGGAGAAGCATGCATAATTAAGCCTAAGAAGAAGCCAGTGGGCACAATTATGTTAAGGCTCCGGTTTTTCCATTGTGTCAAAATGGCTGAAGGAAACCATTCACAGAAGCTTTACAACAAAGGTGGGTTTTGAATATTATCCATAATTACGGCTCTTTCAGCCTGAAGCAGGTATGAATGCTATTAATATTTGTATGCAGAGACTAGGGATAGTCTTTCAAGTGTCATCATTTATATCTCTTAATTAGCTTCTTGTGGACATGTCATCCAGTAGAAACTTTGGATCTTTCTAGTCTTTATAGAAAACTAAAACTTAATCAAGAAGGCTTCAAAAAGTTCATGGAAAACTGTAATGAAAGACGCTGGAATGTTTCCTGAGACAGAACAGACACTAGAATAGCGGGGTGCTGTGCCGTTGGTGGTCTAGCTGTACCCTACCTTGCTCCCCAGTCCTGTTCTATCCTTACTAGCTTATAGTTTTTAGGCAAGCTTTCCATGCTTTGGTATGCACAGATCTTTGGTGTACAGTTTTAACAGATTCATCCATGTAGCCCACACTTATCAAGATACGTAACTTAAAAGAAACCGTATTTAAATCTTCAGTCTACAACCAACTGGTGAAGGAAAACAGTCATTTCTTACTAATTGGTAAAAAAATGTTTCTTTTTATTTGTGGTAAGCATCACACTTTCACACTTCAGTGCTAGACTGCTCATTCTTGTCTAAGTCCACACCAGCCTTCTCTTTAACTGGCGTCAGTCTGGAGACTTGTCAGCCTGTTAAGGCACAGGCAGACTAGCCCGGTACTCCGCAGATCCTGTGGGTTTGACACACTAAAGGTTTGTGGCCACCGTGTCCTGAGCAAGTGTGTTAGTGCCATTCTCAGCAGCTCATGGCCGCCTCACAGATCTGTCCCAGCGCCGTGGTGCTCCCAGGCTGCCAGACAGACTCCTAGATGTACATGGGTAACCCAAACTTTGATAAGCACTGGGGAGCCAGGCACCTCACGGGACTTGCTGTATTATGATCGTCTCTTTATTGTGGTTGTCGGCAACTCAACCCATAATCGCTGCACGGGTACTTGTTTCAGCTCTCCTGACGCCTGCTCCCTTCCACCTTCTTTCTGACTATACCTGAAGTGTTTGTGTTTACACTTTAGCGCTAGGTCTGGTCCAGCAGTCAGACATACACTTTAGGTACGTGTACATCACATTGCAATATGTGTATTCAGGGGAGACGGGGGTGGGGGGGGTGGGGGAAGACATAAAGTAGCAATGGAAAGGCTCCCTTCTCCTCTGATTCCATTCCCCACAGATACCAACTGGTAATACTGAGTCATAACTCTCTAGACTTTCTGTGCCTGTCTAAATTACTATTTATGCAGTTCTCCTCCCCTGCAATAGGATCATTTTTTATCTGAATGTTTCTTGATAAAGTTTACTTCTCTTTAACACAGGGATCACGACACAAGTAGTTTCATTAGGTCTCTGCTTTGAATTTTTTCTTTAACTTAGATTAAAAGGTACGCTACATATACGATGGTGGTGGTATGTCGTGGAGTCAGACCAGACTCATAGCGACCCTGCATAGGGTTCCAAAGCTGTCCATCTTTATGGGAGCAGAAAGCCTCAACTTTCTCCCATGGAATGGCTGGTAGTTTCAAACTACTGACTTTGAGGTTAGCAGCCTGGCTCATAACCACTATATATACCACAAGTGAATTAGGACTCTGGTTGTGTTCCAGGATTTGCTCAGAGTCATACGCTTGTTTTGTCTAGGAGCTTGAGCCCTGAGAGGCCTGGTGGAGACCTGTGTTGCTTTCCCACACAGTGGGTGCTGAGCACGTGTGCTATCAGTCTGAAATACACACCACATTCCAAAGGCTTACTGCCCCAAACGTCAGATCTCTCATTAACAATTTTTTATATTGTCTACGTGTTGAAATTCCATGGGAGAAAGATGAGGCTTTCTACTCCTGCAAAGGCTTAAAACCTCGCAGTGAGTCGGAACCAACTCAGCAGCACTTAACAACAACTTGTTGAAATTATCATTATTTGACTAGTTGTTGTTGTTGTTGTTATGTGCCGTGGAGTCGGAACCGACTCATAGCGACCCTGTACAGGGTTTCCGAGGGTGTAAATCTTTACGGGAGTAGAAAGCCTCATCTTTCTCCCGCGGAGCAGCTGGTAGTTTCGAACTGCTGACCTTGCGGTTCACAGCCCGAGTCGTAACCACTACGCTACCAGACTGGGTTCAATAAAATATGTTATTAAACTTAATTTCATCTGATTCATTTGACTTTTAATGTAATTAATAGAAAAGTTTTCATTACTGTTGTGTGTCAGGTTATACAATCAGTTCCCAGGGTACAAATGAGATTCATTCTTTACTGTGTCTTTAAGAATTTGTAGATAATCTGGTAGCATAGTGGTTACGAGTTGGGCAGTTCGAAACTACCAGCAGTTCTTCTGGAGAAAGATGAGAGGCTATCTGCTCCTGTAAAGATTTACAGTCTTGGAAAACCCTATGGAGTCAGTTCCAACTCACTAGTAACCCTGCATAGGGTTTCCGAAGAGGTGCTGGTGGGACTGCCAACCTTGTAGTTAGCAGTCCAGTGCTTATCTTACATCAGCACACAAGAAGTTCTAGCCTTACTTTGTTGTTGTTGTTAAGTGTTGTTGAGTTGGTTCCAATTCAAGGCTAGCCTGGATAGGGTTTCTGAGGAGCGGCTAGTGAACTTGAACTGCCCACCCTACAGTTCAAACCGACCTTGTAATCCCGCGAAGTAACATGCAGTGCCCCCCAGGACTCTTCAGTGCTGATGATTTCAAAGTTGCGGAGCAGCAAGTGAAGGCAATTGTGAGGAAAAGTTGGTTGTGGGTGTGCTGTGGGGTTGGTTCCGACTCATTGTCACCCTGTGTAGGATTTCCAAAGCTGTAAATGTGAATGGGCGCAGAAAGCTTCACCTTTCTCCCCAGCAGCAACTGGTAGATTTGGACTACTGACCTTGCATTTAGCAGCCTGGCTTGTAATCCGCTGTTACAAGGACTCATTTGTTGCCAGTTGTTGTTGTTAAGCCACACGAGGGGTAAGAAAAACTTCCAGAAGGAGGGCAAGGTGCTAAGACATTGAAGGGTAAGTAAGAGTTGTCCATAGTCTGATGGTTGTAACCCCGGGATGGGCTGCGTTGCTGTTGGACGATACTAGTCTAGACGCAGGATCTGAGTCTCTTGAAATCCATTAACTTGTGAGTGAGTACTTCCTGTCTCTGAGCTGACCGAGTGTTCCTCTGCAGTTTTCATTTTGGGCAAAGCTATTCACGAGATATAAATGAGATCAAACAGTGTTCTGAGAAACGAATATGTGAGTTTTTCTGACTAGTAGAAACTTCATCTTGCTCTGTTTCACTGAAAATAAGCAGTTTCTTAATAGGAATTTGTCACTGATTAAAGAACCAAGTGGTTTTGTTTCTCCTAAGAACGAAAAGTTATTAACAATGCAACAAAGAGCCTCTCCCTCAAAAAATGCAGCAGAGGTTTATTTTTAAAGTCTTATCAGAGAGTTTGTAGTAAATATGCTTTGAATTTCTGTAGTCATTTCCAGCCAGGACTCGAAAGATTAGACTAGAACAACACATATTTATAAGAAATGAATACTACACATGTGGTGAATTATACATATAAAAAGGTCTTTCTCTAGCTACATTTGATATGTAAACTCCATTTAACACAAAGGTTAATTCAGTTATTTTTCCTGTGTGGTTCTTAAGACAGTTCTATATTTTCCATGCATATATCATTTTAAACAAAACTAACCTTCAATACAAGTTTAAATTGTTTTGGTGAAAGTTGAATAAATAATACTGTAATAGCGTTATGCAATGTCTCATCATTTTATCATCATTTTAGGAAGGATTGCTCGGCATTTAGTATTTGAAAAGATTCAATTAGAATAGAAAATCTGATTTTAATATGTAACTTTTTTCTTAGAGTTTTATTAACCAAGATAAAAGAAAAGAAACAGAAGATGAAGATAAATCAAAATCATTTATGCAGAAATATGAACAAAAAATCAGACATTTTGGTAAGTTACCTACTTGCATCCCTTTTCTAATGCTTGCTGTCATAAGCCTCTGTATAAAACAGAAGGTAAGTCCCAGAGGCCAGGTGTTGAGCTCCTTCTGGCCCAGTTGTACAGTTCCTGTAGACTTGGTTTTGTAGTCCCAAATCAAACAGATTGGCAGAGCAAGCCAGGTTGTAAGAGAAGCAACCTCTGGTCTACATCACTGCCCTTCTACGAGACACACTCACTTCCTTGAATCCATACTCTCTCCATTTTCTAGCTAGTCTTTTCTTTTTCTGTTTCCTTGGGATCCAATTGTCTTACAAGATTAGCATTTATTTTCAGTGTTTTTAACTTTTTATTGTGAATTGAGTGAAGGTTTATAGGGCAGATTATCAGTTTTATACTCAGAAAATTGCATACTTTGCTTCATTATATGGTTGCACTCCCCTCCATGCACCACCAGTTCACAGCATTGACCGCTGTTCACTGCAACCACTGCGTCCCTCCCTGTGTCTCCCGTCATCCCATCTGTCCTCTGCCAGCATCCCTCCGGTGGTACATTGCCTGCCCCGTCACCCATGCCAACGCGTGTCTACCCTCCAGTAGCATTTCATTTTTACAGTCCTGAAGATGATGTTCTAGAATCCTGAAGATGATGTTCTAGAATCCAGGCAGACCATGATCTATTTTCAGTGCACCAACACAAAAATATAGTAACAGACATGTGTTCAGAGAAGTAGAGGAAGAATTTTCCGTGTTGGCGATAAGGGGTGGGATGGGGGTTGATTTAAATGAAGGCTTCCCAGAGGAGGTCACATTCCAGCGAGATGATGAGCTACAGGTAGGCACTTCCAGGTAGATAAAGGAGGCAGCTGCCCCCGCGGTGTCTACAAAGGCATGGAGTCCCCGGGCAGCATGGGGTGTCCTGAGAGTGGCCCAGGTTCTAATCTTGCTGGCATGCAAATGCTCATGAGCACTGTTAGGGATGAAGGTTCAAAACGCATCCTTTTCACCCCAAGTAATATATTAATAAACATGGTCATTATTTGCAGTATGTTAAGGAGCTCTGGTAGCATAGTGGTTACGAATTGGGCTGTGAACCTTAAGGCCAGCAGTTCGAAACTACCAGGCGCTCCGCGGGAGAAAGATGAGGCGTTCTGCTCCCATAAAGATTTACAGCCTCGGAAACCCTGTACAGGGTCGCTATGGGTCGGAACCGACTCCACGACACATAACAACAACAATGAGCTTTTAAATTGTTAATATTTTTTAATCTTTTTCCTATTTGTGTTTTTTTTCCCCCCAAAAGTATTTAGAATTTCGGTCATAACAAGCCATTGGACCTTACTGTAGATTTTTTTCCTTTCTCTTTTATGCATTTCTTCATCAGATATTTATCATTCTCAAACTTTTGATTAAGGAAAAAAGCTTTGTATTCTGTTTAAAAACAGTAGCCGAAACAAACAAAAAGCTAACTTTCTTTTTGAATACATTATCATTTGATACTATTTATTGTAGGGGGAGAAATGTAAATAAGGTTACTTCCTTGTACAGATGTTACGGTTTTTAGACCAGCAGAGCTGAGAGTCGTAAGGATAAAAAGGGAAAGTTTTGAAGGGGCGTCTTTAGTGGTGATGATGTAAGGTGGCCCTCCCAGCCTTGCTTCTTGCCTGTGTGTTCTGCTTCAGGAAGGAGTACCACATACTGATACAGAGTCTGCATAGCATCTGCTACAACAGCCTCTCTGAAGGTGCTGTCTCCCAGCGGGCATTTGATCAGACCAGCTTTGGAGCCGTGGGTTGCCTGGTGAATTTGAAAGGGGTCCCCCATTTATGGTGGAAACTGAGTGCCTTGATCAGAGATGTTTTATGTGGGAAAATGCCCCCGCCTCCCTAGGTGCTGTCACCCCCCTGACAAGGGTTGAGTCTTCAGTGGTGGGCGGGATGGCGCCAGTGACATCTGGCACTTACTGTCGGTAAAATCGGTCCCTTGGTCAGGAACTTCCGAAGGTTACAGATGCTTTACTGGCTGAAGACGGCGAGATGGAAGTATGTCTGCATTTATTCAAGTGTAAAGCTGACTGAGCAAAATTAAAATTAAACACTTAACTAGTTTCATGATTGCTTGGGTGGTACTGGCTTTTTGATCAAATTGTTATTTTTTTAAGGTTTTTATTGTGGATTGAATGAAAGTTTACAGGGCAGATTGTTGGGGACTGACCTGGACATATTTGTGTTGTTCACAAGTGTTTGGTTCACGAGGAGGGGAGATCCAGCGGCGTTAGAGATAGCGAAAGAATACACAGACAGACAGAAGGAGGGAGATAAAGAGGCACCCAGAAACCAGGGTGGATGCATCATCGTGGCCTCTGCAGGCAGCAACTCACTGCCCTGCAATCTTTACTGCATGCCCTCCATCTTGTAATGCACACCTGGGCAGGCCTGGGCCTCTGTTTTATTTATTATTTAGGGGAGGAGCTTCACACCAAACTGGGAGGGACTAAAACAGGATACAGCTAACATCAGTAATTTTCCAGACACTCAGGTAACTTTACATCGTGCTTTGCTGGTTCGAATCCCAGGCCAGCAACTTGGTTTCTCAGGCTCAATTAACATATCCATAGCCCCTGAGCTCAGTTGGGGGAAGGTGAGAGGTAAGGACAAAGGCTTGGGAGGAGTCCTGCTGCTTGGACTTCCTGAGCCAGGTTTTCAGGACTCCAGAGAGATGCCCAGGTGAATGGGCTGCACCTGGAAAAGGTATTAGGGAGGATGGGTTCTTTGTCTATAGAACAAAGAACCGAGAAGTAGCTAAGATATTTTTAGTTAATCCTTTGGAG